GAAGAGTTTCGGCCTTCCAACAACAAATTGAAGAGAGTCTCTGCCGTCGAACAACATTGATGATAGGGTTTTCTGCGCCGCGCCAAAAAGTTGACAGCCTAAAGAATGCATAGCGACGTAGGAACAATTCTGAAGTTTTCAAATTTTTATCGATGCCTGCTCGTTCCGTTCTGAACCCCCAATGATGGAAGCTCTGGCAGGTGATCGGACCTTTTTATCGTTGCAGATGCGAATGGATGGATTCCCAAGCTAAGGCCTGTCATCTCGCCGCTTCTCTGAGAGCAGATGCAGCGGATTCCTGCAGACGTTCCCGAAATCAAGGCTAGATTTCGAGCTCTATCCGGCGTTTGAGCTGCGCTTCGGCGAGAAATGTTTAAAAACTACAGCAGGCTCCAATTAAAATCGTCACAAAAGCTCACCGAACGTTCGGCTCGCCACGGATTTGAAAGGCTGTCCTCACGCCTTTTCAGAGTGCCGACAGAAAAGGGAAATCCTGTCCCTGCAATATTTCATCGATGGCATCCGGGACCCGAAATAGAAAGCACTGCGAGGCGGATGTAAAGATCTGAAAAGCGCTTAGTGTATGCCATGAAATTTGAGGCAGCCCAGCAAGCCACCCGTCGAGACCGCCATCCAGTTAGAGCTGTGCGGCCATGAGCCAGTGTCTCAACTGATGCTCGTTTAGATGATTTAGCAGACAAGTCGACGCTTTGATACGGAGTAGGAGGGAGAAATGTGGCTCTAAGGTTTGGAGATGTGGTAGTGAAATCACTAAGATGGAATTGCAGAACACCCCAGGGTACGGATATAAAGCATGTCTTTCCCAGCAAGTCATTGTGCTTGACGGACATAAGTGAAAAGAACTAATTCTAAATGCTGGACTGCGGAGTTGAAGGCAATACGAAGAATTGTAGAACATCCCGAGGTACGGAAAATAACACCATTTCCCACACGATGAGTAAACAAATTAGTGACCATATCGAGGAACGGAGGTTGTCAATAAAACCTTGCTTAAAGCGGTAAAATTTATACAGTGAGTGCACAGTACGGAATGTCCATTAATGGGAATACGATGGAGTTCCTTGCGATATAATCTTGACACAGGACGAATGACCCATTAGGAAGCTTTAGGCTGAACAGTTTAAAATAACTATTTGGACGCCATCCTGTGTTACCCTTCAGACTGCGTCTGTGAGATCGACATAACTGGGAAGTTAAACGTAAGCAGAACGTTTGGAAGTGCCGCCTACCATCACACGGCTTATGTCACGGATATTACAAATCCATGCATACTCGGATTGGATTTTTAAGGAGATACAATTTTTCCTTAGACTTCAAAAATTTCTGCATCTGATGACATGACTATCCATCCTTCAGAAAGGGACCCTCATCGCTTGGAAATGCCGACGTCTCTTGTCCAAAAGACTCCAGCTCAGGAAGCTGCCGAAATCATACTAGGGTCGAAAAGAAACACAAGACTACCGGCTATTCTCCATTCCCAGATGCTCTTCGGTCGAGACCTTCGTCTGCCTTGTGACCGCCTGTTTGATCGCCATACGGATGCGCCTTCATCGTCCTGAGGAACACATCCAAGATGGACATCTTGGATGTGTTCCTCAGGCGATTTGAAATGATGCATCCGGTTTGAAGTGATGCACCGTTCTGCACGAAAGCGAGTCAACTTGGCGACGGAGAAAAGTGGAAGACCCGATGCGACACAAGAGCTACTGGACATCGATTTGATGGAGGAGAGAAGGTGTGTTTGTGGAATCTGACTCGACGAAAAGGACTCTGTCGTAAATTACAGTCACCTTGGGATGGTCTGTACACAGTTCTAAACAGGCTGAATGATGTCATGGTTTGGATTCGTAAGTCATCGAACTCTAAACCTTAAGTTGTTCATTACGACAGGTTAGCTCATTACTATGGCCATTACGTAGTGTATATAGTTGTAAATAGTATTGTAAATAATATTAGACCATGGTCCTGTTTATAAAGGTATTTGATTGATTGGATTTCGTATTTGTTTGATTTAGTATTGACCTTGATGTTTTAGTATTGCATTTATTGTTTATATGTTGATTGTAAGTAATGTTTATGCCTCCGTGCATTATCCACAGTTTAAGTTCTTCCTGTCCTGGATGTACTGCCGGGACGTGCAGGCCTTGGGAAGGGGGCAGTGTTACGAATTGGTATACAAGCTAATGTTAGTTCGTTATAATAAATGGTTTATTTCGCTCGATGCAAGCGGGACGAAATTAAATAAAGCTAGCTGAAATTGAAATACAAGAGGCGTGATTAAAAAATAAATTTTTTTTCATTGAGAAAGTACGGAAAATTCGAGCGCTATTTTAAAATGTTAAAAGGAAAAACATCTCAGTTTGTAGTAGTTGCTTGTTTGTGTGTTAGAAACTGCTCTGTTGATTGTAGCGAATTCGCGGATTACGTTCTTAGCTGTTTTGAATTAAGTCTATTGGATATTGCAGTTAAAGTAACTCTGTGAGAATGTAATACTGATGATAATGAGAAATTAGCATTTTGTTGTGATAATAATAAATTTTGTTATTTTTTCATCGGACTTGTGCATTCATTTCATAACGAACCCGTACGCACGCAACAATATAAATTTGCATTAGCATGAAGCTATAAATATTAACAGAATTTTTTTTATCTCTTATGACATATTGAACTGTGGCAAAGTTTTCAAGTAATAGAAAAGTTCTAACAGATTTATCACAAAAAGGCATAAAATTTCTTTACAGAGTGTTAGTGGCAATCATGTATGTCACAGAAATAATACATCAAAATTAATATAATAAATAGTGCATTTCATTTAAAAAATTCATGTTGTAAAAATTGCAGATAAAAATTTATAAAATTTTAAATTATTTTTGGCACTTGTCTCCTGTAGTGGCTTTGACGAAAATGTTTATTTGACGCATTTCTGCATTGGAGAGAAACAAATGTTCATGGTTACTGATGTGAACATATGCATTTCTTCTAGTGTTGCTTTTAAAATATAACAATTTTTTATTTGTTCTCATAGCTCATGTTCCTTCTAGTAAATATTCTCACCTTTAAAATAAGCGATTTTTAAATGGGTACCTAGCTGCGCATATGTAAGAGTATATTTTCCACTTTTTATTTTAAAACATAAAGGTTTTTCATGCATGCAAGTTTTGGGGGCCAATGAAAATTTTCACATTTAAATTGTAGTGGTTTTTCACTGCAAATATTTTTCATGCTTACTATTTTCAATCTACCACCAACTGAAAAATAAGCTACAGTTTTTAACAAGAAAAAGGTATTTTACCAAAAGAAAGAATTTGAGAAAATGGGCATAATTTTCAAGTATATGTAGGAAAAAATCATTGAGCAATGCAACGTTAGCAGCTATAAAAAGAAGAAAATTCTTGGTACTGAGAATTGGTTTAGTGGATGACTAATTTCCTTTCTTTTGACATTGTGGGGATCAATAAATTGCGAAATAAAAAACAAAGAGGTACGGTTGACTATTACCTGGTATCCTATATAGCAAAATTCATGCTCGAGCACCAGGTTGACTGTGATATTGCATTTGAGGCATAATTAGCATCAATTGAACTGTGGTCACCAGAAAGAGTTTGTAAAAAAAATGAATTTTCCAGTATGTACGTTATTTTTTAATAAAATGATAACGAAATTACATACAATAATAAATTTAAAACTTTCTAATTTATGATTTTGTTTGAAAATAACAAGCATAATTAGAATTTTGCAATGAAAATCCACTATACTGCCAGGAAGCAATTACAGTCAAAAGTCGTTAATCCGGACTTGTCGGGACTTCGGCGATTCCGGATTATAGATCATCAGTTTAAATCTCGTAAGATGGCATGCAGAAATTCTAAAATTAAAAATATGAAACCGTAATTATGAAATAAAGAACAATTATGATCTAAAGGGTATCAAAATTTGCAAAAAAAAAAAGCTTAATATTTATTGTTTACTTATTAAACATTCTTTCAATGTAAGTGTTTAAGTTGCTTCGTTATGTGATAATACTTCTTCTTAATTCTATAAACAGACATAATTTCTTGTTCGTTACAAAGTTCGATGTTCAGTCCTATAATTGCTGTGTCGAGAACCCCAATAATTGTCAATCGAATTTTTCGTTTTCACTAACCTCTGTCACTTCTTCGCTATCGAAGCGAATATAATGACGAGGAACTTGTTTAAATCATATCAAAGATTGGAGCACATCGAGATGAAATACTAATTTGGAGAAATTATAGCCAAAAAAATAAAAACATCTGCCTGAAGATAAGGATGTGCTGACAGATCAACTTCCAATCATTACGGCCCGCTGCGGCTTCCCCCCGCCAGCAGCGTGAAATTTGATAAGATTAATTCAAACATACTTCGCTTAGATCTTTAATATTAACAAATATATACGGAAAGTCTATTGATCTATCAAAAGTTTAAAGCTTATTTTAGAAAATTGCTCTTACAGTCTGCAAAAAATAATAAGCCGGATCCAATTCGAAAATTAAGGAACACGCATCATCACTTAAACGAAAGATAATTAGATAATTTTGCGTATACGTCGATTATCCATAAACGCGCACACGAAACATATTCTGACTTGTGCCAAATATGCGTAGTCGTAAAAGGTCTTCGCGCCGCGTAACTCCTCTGCGCTGTTCACGCGGGCATGCGCAGAAAGTTTTAGTTTGGGTCCGGTTATAGTCATTCCGAATTATGGGTGTCCGAATTAACGACTTTTGACTGTACATATGTTTCTCACACATGCGCAAATCAATAACCATTTGTTTTTCACCACTGCCGAAATGGGCCAAATTAGCATTATCAGCAAGGCTGCTGGACAAGTACCTACTTTTGATTAAAACTTAAAAAGAACCACACTTAAAAAGGACAAGTACCTACTTTTGATTATCTAGATAAAATATATAAATATTTAACTGAACCTATTTTTGTATTTTACACTACATAATACCTACCATGAAAAGAGAATGATGCACATGTACAGTAATTGCAATTATTTAAGCAGATATAGAATTCTGTAAGGCTTCTTTGAATTTGATAAAGTTCTCTACCACTGGGCGATGTTATATGGGATATGCACTTGCGATCCACAAGATCAAGAGCCTGCGTTACTGTGGTATCAAATAAGAATGATAACCTATTTAAATAAATGCGGTTTAAAGCTTTTCAGAAATTGAGTAATATAACATTTTTTAAATCTTTTTTAGACTTTTACACTATCATACTAGACAACAGGATATTTAGCCGATGCAAGCATTTCGCCAACAGGACACTTAAACAACAGGGATATTTAGCCGACAGGACTCTCAGCTGACATGGATACTTAGCTAACAGACTAAAACCACACAACATTATCCACAGTATGTTTAATGGCGAAACATTCGCTGAGGTCACTTTATCTGACGACACTACTATAACAAAATAATTATGGAAAATTTTTTTGTTTTTTCGTAATTTGTTCATATTTTATAGGAAGAAAAAAGCTTTTCCATGGTACCTGGTCAAAGTTTATAAACCAGTGCTATATTTATCTAATTTAAATGTTAAAAAAACATTGCTGTCAATTGATACCAAAAGAACATTTTTTTAAAAATAGGATAGATTTCGAAATCAATTTACAGAGTTACAGACAGAGTCTCTAGATTCAGAAAAGGGAAAGAAAATTTCAGCATGTGTGAAGAGTGAAAGGATTTATCTAGAAATAATAGTTGGTTGCAAAGCAAAAACAATATTACGTAATTGATTTCTTTGAATCCTTTCTATTAAAAAACGTTTTCCTTTATGCAATGACATTAATTTTTCAATGCTTTCACATCCTAATTATCTTACAGCTGTGGTTCACTTTCTTGGTTATTTTCCATGACAGTTGCTCCATTCATTTCTTTAACTATAAAATCATTTCACTCTTCCAACTGCTAAGATTTTCCATCCTACTTCTGAAATATAAAGATCGAGTCCACCAGTCACCCAGCAATAAAATCACTGAAGACTGTTAGTTCTGTCTAGCATTCGAACCTCTATGGACACACTAGTTGCATGGGATTTCGTGGCTCTCTCCATCCGTAATGTGTAGATAAATCAGTTTTCCCTAGAAAGTCCTCCATGAATGCATCCCTTACGCAGATAGTCCTTAAGCGCTTTGTCATAATCTAATAAACCAAACCGAAATATAGAGACCTATGTCTATTACTCTAAGCTGATTTCAAAATCTACGCCAAAATAAGTAGGCTGACGGGAAGAGAAGAGAATGTTTAATGTTTTATCTCGAGTTCTTTAACGTAAAAAATATGGTAAGCTGGCATTGTTTTTACATCTTTCCTTTCAAACGAAGAGAAACAAAAACAAACAGACGAAATACACTGACTATCACTAGTATTTGGACAAATTGAACGATATCTGGTGTCCCTAAGGTATGTCACGGACCCGCCGGTAAGATCTGTAGAAGACAGCAGGGCTTTAGTCCGCATGCAAGATGCCCGCAGTTCGAGCTCTCTGCATGTCGAGAAAGGTATAATTATCGGGTATCACAATGTGGCCGATCCTTAAGGTACATATCTAAGCGAGCTGAAGTACCCAAAATTGACAAGTGCCTATGTATTAAGAGTGGAAGGTGAGCGGTGCATTGTCGGATGTGCCCCGAGTCATCAGACCAATGAAACTGGGAGATAGAGACCGACGAGTGCTGTCCAGAGAAATTCGAAGAACCGCACCCAACCGCTGGCCCTCATCCGCGAGGATTTCAACAGGCATCTGGGAGTATTGTTTCAATGAAATACCATCCGTAAAGGAAGCATAGCTGCTTGTTTCATGGTCCGTGCTGCTGCCCATAAGCTTTGATCACAAAGTCCAACCGTGCTGCTCGGTTAATGTAGTGCAAAGCACATCGAACTGGCATCGTAGTTCAGTGGGAACTGGTTTTCTTTGGAGGGACGAATAAGGTTCACCCTTTACCGTTCAGAGGTTGTGGGAAAAAAATAAGAGGGAGCCTGTGAGGTTCTGGGTCTGGCGTCTAACTGGAGAACGTTCCGCCAGAATCATTGTGCCAACAGCAAGTTCGGCGGAGGTTGGAATTATGTTCTGGTGGTGTTTCTCCTGTTATGTGCTGGGACATTTGGTCCCATTCATGGTACGCTCAACGAAACGCGCCTACGCACTATTTGGGATACAATTGCTTTCCCCTGACTTTGTGGCATTTTTTACAGGTGGACCCCTGTTCCTTCATGATTCACTGCCAGTTTTCATGTTTCGACGTTAACCAGGCCGTGGTCATGGTGCAATGGAGTTCACGATTGACTGGCCTGCCAGAGTTCCCGACTTAACCCTATCGAGAACCTCTGGGACAGTTGCATTGAACTTCAAGGGGTGCACTACCCGTGCAAAAGCGGGGAAGGACTCTATGTCTTCTCCCAAGACAGGTGGAGAAAAATACCACTAGCTGCATACAAAGACTTGTGGAAAGTACTCCCCGGATGGTCCCCGCTTAGTTACCTCTCTGGGAGGCGCTACCAACGATTATTTTGCCTAAAGTTACGGGTTTCTTTTCTCTCCAGGTGTCCAAATACTTATTGGTAGTCAGTGTATATGACTTGCATTAATCCATAAATGAAACAATACAAAACATAGCATAAAATATTCCAAGATAGATTTTTTTTCCCCACTTTTCTGTTTAGTATCTGCCATGTACTAAACAGAAAACTGGTACTGTTGTAATAATGTTATGTTAGTGCATTTAATTATTCTCCATTACACACCCACACAGTCCCCAGATATTAATGATATTTGTGTATTTAATCATCTGACACCAAAGGGGCAAAGAAGCATGGCAGGTGCATAACATCAAAGTAATTTCTTTTTTCCCTATTATCACTTTAATAGCTCTGCATCTAGTTAATTATTATCATAGAAGTTTGAAAAGTTTCTTTCACAGAAAAACCTATGGGAAAAGCCACCCCAAGAAAGAGATACTTTTGTTGTTAGTAGGATAATACTTATTGCCAAACGTATAAAAATATTGGTTCGAAACCAAACTAGATGGTAGCAAATCTAAAGATACATAAAGCTTCATGAAAAAAATTAACTTGTTATAACATAATATGTATAATGTTTAATATGTGCAATGTCAAATTTTGTGTAATTAAATGTTGTTTTCTGTTAAAAAAAACAGTACTTTATGATTATATGTACCCCATCTCGAAAAGGCACCACGTCAGTTTTTGCCAAACTAAGGACATCAAGCCAAGATAACCATTTTCTAAATGGCAGTGTTCTAAGAATTTCATAAAAGAGCAATCAATCAATAAAATTAAAAAAGCAAGAAACATCAGTAATAAAACACAGTGTTTTAAGAAAGTCTTATACATCAGTCGCAAATACTAGACAACAGGATATTTAGCCGATGCGAGCATTTCGCCAACAGGACACTTAAACAACAGGGATATTTATCCGACAGGACTCTCAGCTGACATGGATACTTAGCTAACAGGACATTAAACCAACACGAACATTTAGCCAACAGTATATTTAACTGGCGAAACATTCATCTGAGGTCACATTTAGCTGACGACACTTACATATAGACAAAATAATTATGCAACAATGTTTTAGTAAAATTTGTTCATATTTATATGGAAGAAAAAAGGCTGTTTCCATGGTACCTGATCAGAAGGTTTATAAACAAGTGCTATATTTTTATCTAATTTAATGTTAAAAAAACTATGGATTTTAAAATTGGATACAAAAGCAACATTTTTTTAGGATAGATTTCGAAATCAATTTCAAGAGTTATCAGACAGAGATCTCTATATTTCAGAAAAGGGAAAGAAAATTTCAGCATTTGGAAGAGTGAAATGATTTTATATGGAAAGAATAAGTGGTGCAAAGCAAAAACAAATATTACGTAAATTGGATTTCTTTGAATCCTTTCATATTAACAAAATGTTTTCTTCTTTAGCAAATGACATTAATTTTTCAACGCTTTCAAATCCTAATTATCTTACAGCTTTTTCACATTTCATTGTTATTTTCCATGACAGTTGCTCCATTCATTTCTTTAACTATAAAACCATTTCACTCTTCCAACTGCTAAGATTTTCCATCCTACTTCTGAAATATAAAGACCGAGTTCACCAGTCACCGAGCAATAAAATCACTGAAGACTGTTAGTTCTGTCTAGCATTCAAACCTCTATGGACAGACTAGTTGCATGGGAGTTTCGTGGCTCTCTCCATCCGTAATGCGTAGATAAATCAGTTTTCCCTAGAAAGTCCTCCATGAATGCATCCCTTAGGCAGATAGCCCTTAAGCGCTTTGTCATAATCAAGTAAACCAAACCGAAGTATAGAGACCTATGTCTATTACTCTAAGCTGATTTCAAAATCTACGCCAAAATAAGATAGGCTGCTTAATTTTAAAATCTCGAGTTTCTTTAAAGTAAAAAATATGGTACTCATTCATAAACCTTTGCATTGGGTACCCTAGAAACAACCTTCTTTCAGATAAACATGGACAAATTTTAATAAAACACTGTCGCATATTTATTTATTTTTGTCTATGCATATTGTCAACTAAACATGCTGTCTGCTAAATGTCTCGTCGATTAAATGTCTTGTTGTCTAAATGCTCATATCAGTTCAATGTCCTGCCGGCCAACTGTCCTGTTGGTTAAATGTCCCTGTCGGCTAAATATGTATGTTAGCTAAATGTCATGTTGGCTAACTGTTGTTAGCTGTCACATCAGCTAATGTCACAGACCCCATATACAGTCAAAAGTTTTTAATTCGGTCTCGTCGGGACTTCGGCAATTCCCGATTATAAATCATCAGTTTAAATGGTAAGATGGCATGCAGAAATTATAAAA